CAATAAAGTGAACTGGCAGAGGAAGGAATACAACCCATTATCTTCAAGAAAAGAGGTGTGTGATAGACTTACCTCCACGTGGTGCACCCTGGGCAACGTATACTCATACGGCAAAAGTCTATTACCTGGCAGTTGACTTCAAACTACCATGACTCCACTGTATGTCATATTCGACTACTTCACAGTACTCATCCCACCCTTTTTCCACCTTATCTACCTTCGTCTTTGATACACTCTTCTGCCCCCCCCCTCTTGAATTTTTTACACTTTGATGTTCCTTCCCCTCTGTGAAGACTGAAGTCAACTAAAGGGCTAATGATAACAATCAAAACGCCTGCCATTTGATATAATAATCTTCAAGAAAAGTGATAAGATAAATGACTCGTTATTTTGAAGAAAACGCAGAAACTAATTCACGTGCTAGATTTTGAAATACATAGGCAAAATATCCGACCTCTTTAACGTATGGATTTACCTAAATAAGACTCATAAAAATGCATCCGCAAAAAATTGTGAAATAAACGCACAAACTGTTTATTCTAAAGAGATACTGAAATCTAATTGAGAGCACTTAAAGTACCTGGCCTAAAAGATAAACACAACGTTGCATACAAATAAACAACTGTGGAAACGAGGCCGTTAGTAGCAAGAAATAGATTATAAAAAATATAAGTACCTGAAGAGGGGTAAGCTCCTGAAGAATCATTTGGTCATTAAGATTATCGAATAGACCATCTGTTCCAACAACGACCAAATCGTTTGGTTCGAGAGGAAAACTATCCTGAATTGCTTCTTGAGGACTATAAGAAAGCTTAGGTTTCAAAAAATTATCTAAAGTAAAATGTAGCAAATATAATAAGAATAAACATACGAATCACGATAGAATTGGCCATTTTCATTAGGTGGCAAACAGGCAACTTGGAAAGGAGTATTAAGGGCGTGCTTTTGATTGGATGAGCGCTTGACAATAGCACCTCTACGGATGACAAGGTAGCCGGAATCGCCAAGACAAACGGTATGAAGTCGACCGTCGCACCGACAGAGCGATATTACACAAAAGGTTGCACTTCCTGTTAGTTTAGAAAGCTGTTAGACACAACTCTTAATGATAAATAAGAGAAAGATATGAACATAAAGCAACCTAGAAGCGGTGTCTTTGCGTCCAAAACTTCATAGTAACTCTCAGTTACAAGAAGCATGGGCTCATTCGGCTTGAAACGTCCCGACTGAGCGAGTTTCTGGCAGGTAGACATAAATGTCATGGAAAAATTGCTGGGATCAATCCCATAAGATCTCCAACCTCCAACACCGTCGGCAACTCCTATTGATAAAAATGATATTTGTTATCATGAAAAGAAACATTGAATTATAAAGATTGAAGTTATAAATATACCAAGGACACACGATGCATCTGTGACCGATATAAAGTAAGCATCATCCCCAAATGTTCGTAGGGGTTCTGGCTTTAGTTCACAATGGGTGTGTTTGTTGTCAAAACCAGACACTGATGTTACGAACGAGAAATGACGACGACCCGCTACATCGGATTTAATTTCGCGACCACCAATGATCGCTAATGCTCGAAGAAAATTTCTACCTTTGGAAACAATCCGATACATTACTTAATTATTCCAATCGACATCCCAATGAAAAGGATAAATAACAATAAAGGTAGAAAAAGATATTTTGCAAAGTACGCTGACTTATAAACGAATCAATTTCAAGGCCATTATAGAATTTACTTTAATACCTTATATATCCATCAATAAAATAAAGTGAACCTTCCCAATATTGCCATATTTTATGCCAATAATCCATCTTTTATTATTTCCATGTTACTTATACCCAAGAGCAACAAAAATTTACATATTCTGATTTACATAAATTATCTTTTAAATTTAATTCGCTTCAATATAAAAAATAAAGCGTTTATTTCAAAAAAATATTTTGAGCATTACAGTATCTTTCAGAAGATATATTTTTACAAATTATTTCAAAATAATTTATGCTCAAATTGTCTTATATCACGCCGCAAATTATATTATTATTTTGTTATTTCCGTGTAAAATTATTATTTGATTTATTCGTTGGTGAATCCTAGGTTACAGTATAAAAATAATACTTACTTACTTTTCCAGGGCTTTTTCATATGTTATTACCAAATTTGATATATCCTAACTATTTAGGATATTTGCTTACTTGAATTGGGTAATCGTGTAAATGAAAAATTGAATATCATATAACTGACATCTGTCTCGCTGTGAATTATTATGCAAATAAATATGGTGTAAATATTCCATTACCGAATATTTGGAACCTGATCACATCAAATAATTCGAAGAATTAAACGAACCTTGGCTTTTATATATACATATTTAGACACAGTATTATGCCGCATTAAATGAATTGTAGTAAAGTTTTTTTAGTCTGTCTCACGAAATTTGTGCTCTTCATATTATGAGCCTCTTAATTTCAGACATATTCTTAATATGTGACTACTTATAGGCCGTATACTTTGAAGTCTACAAGAAACTTCGAGTTATTACAAATATTAATGGATTTCTTAGGATGATTTTGAGAAAATTGAAGTATGAAGCGGTGCATTATTCTTACCATTAGCTTTCCGTACCTATAGCTTTCTAGAATCTAATTCACTAAATTGAATGCAATTTTTTAAGCATTTTCTTTTGGTGATCACCTTCTATACCACTATAGCAAAATACTCTTTTCCATATCCATTTTCGAAATAATTATTTGCCATGAATATCTATCTTAGAGCAATCTGTTTTAACATTTGACGTCCATTTGATCGGATTGAATTCCGCGACTATTTTAATAAGTAGTTTAAACCAAACTACTAAGTAAATGTGAATTAGTATTTCCGAGTTAAATTTTTATCTGATCTTTTCTTAAAACTACCAGCATCTTTGATTAGCTTAGTTAATATGAAGAATATATGATCTGATTTGCATTTGTTTGGTATCTAGCAATTCACAGTTCACTTTACTCAAAACGGTTGCAATGAGTTACGACAGTCAGAAGATGGTCCCATAAAGATAGATATGAAAAATCAATAAAAATACTAGTCAGATACGAAGTTCATCAGACCCGATTTTATGCTTTCAATTTGTCCTAAAAAATTCTTTGCAGTTAGTAATACCATTATAAAGATAGAAAATTTCATTTACCATGCCTTTACAGAATGGTAGCTTTGGAATAAAGGTGATTGTAACTAAAGTATTCTAAAACTTTGATCTACAACCAGATAGGAGGCATGAATTTCTTTTTCTAGAAGGACTTTATCGAATACGAAATAGCCGACAATAATTTACAAAACGGCCTAAAGTACAATTTATTTATAATTGTCAATCAAATTTACTTCAACAAAGTTATTAACATCAACTGGCTTTTAATGGTTTTTAGTGAAATCCGACTATAAATTTTCACAATAGATAAAGCATTTTTTCAGCTGTATTTGAAACGCGATCTATGTTTAGGATAATTCCACGTTTAGCCTTGATTTCGGATATGATGCGTTTACAGAATATCTCTGAAGCTCGAATACGAAAATGTAGAATGACGAAATTTGATAAAATTTTCAAAATTCGAATGTCCAGTTTCGGTATTTTTCATAAGTGTAACAATTTTTACCTCCGGGCTTTAGACACATTAAACAAATCTTTTCGGTAAATAACATAAAGAAAAAGTTAACGACTTTCGATTGGTCAAACAGAAATATCTATAACATTAACATAGCTAAAAAATTAACTAGTTCAATCTATTTATCGAGTGCGTGAACAACATCGTAGAAGATCTACTACCTTATCTTATCTACTTTAGTTTTAGAGAAATCTACGCCAGTTGGGACTCTATTTCCATCAAGCACCAAAATTTAACCAATTAACCAAGTTTTAATGAAATACCGATAGTCAATCCCTCTAATTAATCAGTGCCATTCCAATGACAAGTGATTAAAATAAATAGAAAATTGAGGGGAACACATACATTCTGCTACACAGTTCAACAGGGCCCATCCTTCCTCACACCGTCAATAATTGCCCAATAACATTTACTGTGGACTCAAATTTGTTTCCGTTTATATCCTATCGGCTGAGCTCTCTCTCTCTTTCACACACACAATCTCTCCCCCTCTCTGCCCTTTTGAACCCTAACAGACTTTATTCCTAACTGCATCAACTGTGCTCAACATGCTAATGTGTGCTTATCGATAAGATATTTTGTGACCTTCTCCTCTGTTGGCACTTTTGAGGACAATAAACAGAGACTCCCAGTCCACTTTGAGCTTAAAATCTAGTTCAAAACAAGGCTGCCGCTGGTCTTTTGTTGGGTATACATTAAAATGTTGCTTTCTTAACATTCGTGTAAGTTTTTGAAGTCGGTGTTAATTGCCCGATTAACAGCCGTTAACGTCTCTTGCCATTGGGTTCACGAGAACTCTTCTTTGCTGGCTCAAATGTAGAGAGGGGTGTCTTGAAAGTAAGGCGCTATTTTTACGAACGTTTACCTACCTGCCCTTTTATCCCTAAAATAGCTTCGAGGCATGTAATTGGAGCTTTCTACTGCCTCTAAGGAGCTACCAAACATTAAACCTGGATAAGTTATAATTCCAGCAGCTCCTAGTCCCTATATATTGCTAATCAATTTCATATTCATTTTAATTGAGGCACAAAAGGAGGGACAGCATCTCAAGCCTCTGTTTAGAATGCTTTTGGCTAACAACTAATAAAATCAGAAGGGAGCCTCTAGGACATACTGTGTTGCCTAAATGGCAGATGGAGCCCAAACTTATTTGCTAGACCACTGTAAATATGGCGAGTGACACCTCAATGGCATAAACGGGGAAACATTGCCCTCCCCCCACCCCCTCCTCTTCGAAAGCTTCTAAGTAGGAGCTTGGTAAAGTAACACCCTATAGAATAGACAGCTTATCATGGAGTATTTAATTACTTAAAGCGTATTAATTTAGAAAAAAATGCGTTTCGACATTCTTTTCTCAATATGAATAGATTGGTGACTCGGTAAGTAAGACAACACGACTGGCAATTTCGCAATTGTTTGAGAATGATTCATGAAGTTAAAAAGTCAAAATGGATACTTTTTACAACACGAGTGATTGCTCATTTCCGTAAAATGGGTGAAAGGTGGAGCTTAGACTTAGCGATAATGATTAACATGACTTTGATGAAAGTCCTTCTGAGAAGAAGTGGATCCGTTTGCTTTTGCATTCATGTTAGTGAATTGCAGGATAAAATTAATTACCAACACAGCCACAAGGGAAGATAGGTAAATAGATTAAATCAATCTTTAGGGGGAAGGATTTTCGGTCGGTCCTAACCTTAATTCAAATACATTTGTATCATACCTGGTCCAGCATTTCAGAAACTTCATTATTAATTAATCAGAACGAAAGAAACTCCTATCAAGTACTTTATTTAAAAGATACCGCTAGAAAACTGAATGTCACATGAGGGATGGCAAATGGTAAATGGTCTTACTTAGTAAAAGCTAAAGGTCTTATTTCTCCCTGAGGCAATGGAAATGATTTTGGCTTTTTCAAAGAGATCGTTCCACCTGTTGTTCGACATCCCACTTTCGTCTCTTCTCCCAATCATTGACTCGGCTTAGATAAGTCATTTCAATGAGAAAGAGTAGACAATATAGCGGTTTTGCCGATGAAGCAGTGGGTGCTTCACTGGAATTTGTTATTTTACATTAAAAGGGTTTCTATGATAGGAAAGTCATACTCTTTTCAACGTCTTCATCAATAAGATAGCTGAACAAGTACAGACAGTCACGGGCATCAAGTGCTTACTTTATGCAGATGATTTTGCTATGTGGTATTTCGCCCCTAAGAAAAACGCTAAACTATGCACCTAAACTAGTAGCAAACTGTCGCGACAACAATGAAATGGTTATCAACACCGCGAAAACCGCATTCAAACATTTATATTGACCCCCCCCCCCCACAGCATAAACCCGCATTTAAGGCACAAGGATACTACCTTAGAAAAAAAGCAACGAGTTCACTTATCGAAAGCTAACATGGAAAAGCCACATTGATAAAGTAGCAGAACGAGTCCTCAATAGACTGAACGTACTGAAGCGCCTCGCTGGTAGTATATGGAGCTGTGCACGTTCAACCATAAACACCACTTACAAGATGTTGTTCAACTAATAATGTTGTATAGCTGTGTGGCACTCATTACAGCCTCTGAAGTGATTCTCAAACCACTGGAGAAGGTACCCAACCAGGTGTTACGTCTATTTACTGGAGGGATAAAGTCAACACCCATTGATGCAATGCTCCTGGTTACAGGAAGCACCACAATATTTTCCCTTATCAAAGAGAAGGCCTTGATCCTGTATGAGAAGCTACTGCGCATTCCCATGGATAAATTCTTCAGAACTTAAGAAAATAGGCCAAGAAACCTAAAAATAATCTGGTCTAATACAGAAAGCCATAGAACTGAAAAAAGCATCCACCTATAAGAATAGACCAAGACATCTGAAAACACAATCTGGTCTAATACAGAAAGCCATAGAACTGAAGAAAGCATTGCAAATTGATGAAAACCAAAAAGCCTCTCAATACACAAAA